AATGGATATTTCCTCGTGGTTGTATGTTGAAGCTCATGGTCATGAAGCGATTATCAAAAAATGATTATTGTGAGACGGTTCTACTTACGGTGAATGTGAGCGCAAGGAACGATCGGCAGCGCGGTTGCATTGGCAACGTTTTCCTGCAGGCCCGCATCCTTCATACAAAACCATCCTACAGGTTTTGAAACGTTTAAGAGCGAGAGGCTGCGTAACTAACCGACTTCGATCCGGCAGACCAGCTAAGGTAGGGCAGAAAGTGCAACCGGAAGATGTCTTATCATACTGCCTCACATATCCAAACAGCAGCACAACAGAGATAAGTGAAAAGTGTGGCCTATCAAAAAGTCGCTTTTGGAAAATACTAAATGAATTAATTGCTCATCCATACCGACCAATACCCAATCAGGTATTACCAAACGGGGATGCAGAAAGACGTTCTGCATGGTGCAACTTCCTCATGAACCAGATAGAGGTCCAGCCAACATTCTTGGCAGGTACAGTGTGGACGGATGAGGCACGCTTTTCGCGGAATGAAATGTTCGATAGGCAGGACACCCATTACTGGGCACTGGGAAAATCAATCATGTTCTGCCGAAGTTTGGCATCAAATACGGTTTTCGATTAGTGTTTGGTGTGGAATTTACAATAAAAGACTAATCAGCTCAATATTTTACCAAGGTCGCTAACGGCCGCATAATATTTAGAACTTCTTCGGATTTTGTGGAGAACCTGCCGTTGCTTCAACTCCCGAATGGATGGTTCCAACATGACGTCGCAAGTGAAGCAATACCTGATGGAGGAATTCGGAGAATAAAAAATCGAGTACGGTGGTTTCGAAGAATGGCTTCCACATTCACCTGACCTGATTCCAACAGAATTTTCCCGTGCGGATACCTCAAACATCAGATGTAAGCGACCCCTCCCCAAACATTGCAAGATCTTCGACGACGTATTACAGATGCTTGTGCAAACGTGCCACCCGCTATGCTACAGCGTGAAACATGAAGTTCTAACAAGGGTCCAGATGTGCATTTCAGCTGATGGAGAGAAGTTTAAAACATCGAAAATAAAGGTAGCTTGTGATAACTAGTTGTTTTTTTTTTCTTCCTAAGATCGTTTCGTGACGTCATAGTTTTGGAAATCGCGACCAAACAGATGTGCATTTACAGCATTCTATTCATGTCCGCGAAGTGTCTTTTCGTTTTCGTACTAAATCGACGATGCTGTACAACTGTGTAATTCCCTTTATCTTCCTATCTCGTATCGTTTTCGAGATAGAAAGGCTAACTCCGCTGTTTTCCACTAGGTAGCGCTGAAAGCTATCGCGCCTAGTAGCCCATAGCCACTTTACTGTACCTGGACACCACTTTTATAAACTATTAGCCGCACACGTTCGGCAGTTAAACGGGTGGTACCGGACTTTAGTGGGTATGCTGTATATACAAGGTGTCCATAATTAAACTTAAAATTTGCGACCAGTCTGTAGCAAAAACTATACAGCGGAATTGCATGAAAATTGTGTAATGGCAAAATGGAAATTTTATCGAGGAAATAAAAAACAATGAGTTTGAAAAACCACCCCTAGGTGGCGTATGATAGCTTTATTAAGAACATATAAACAATCTACAAAACTTTACAAAACATGCTCGATATGATGTTCACCATTGTCTGTTACCATCTGGAAGTGTAAAATCACATGTTCGACTGTTAAAAGCAGCATGAACTGGGGAATGTTATGCATATGGCATTCTATGCTTTCTTTAAGGTCGGATTGAGATGTCATGGCATCACGGTAGACCATGGCTTTCAGATATCTCCACAGCCAAAAGTCGCGAGACCTAGGAGGCCAAGCTATAGGAAATTGCCGGCTGATGATTCTGTCGTCATCGAAATGGCGGAGCACACGTTTTACAAAACGGGCGATGTGTTGAGGAGCACCAGCCTGCATAAACACTGTAGTTATATCACATCGTCTTCCCTGAAGAGCCGGAATAACGGATTGTTCTAACAATGCATCGTTGACCGATGGCGGTGCATGTCACAGGCCCTGCGGCACTGTGCTCTTTGAAAAAAAAACGGACCCACAGTCGCATCAAACCGTTATATGCGAAGAGTGTAATGGAATTTGTCGGAATTGATGTGAGTTTATGGTAGCCCAAATACAACAATTGTGCGTGTTAACTGCATCTTCCATATGAAAGTGGGCCTTGTCGGTCCACAAAATGTTCCATGGCCATTCATCCTGGAGCTCAACTCGCGCAAGAAACCGCAACGCAAAAGTGTGTCAACTATCCAGATCAACTGGTAAGAGCTGCTGCAATCGCAACAGTTTATAGGGATAGTAGCGTAAGACCTTTTGAAGAATCTTATGAACCGTCCAATGAGGTTGGTCAACCAGAGGTTGCAATACACCGAACACTAGTGCTGCCGATGGTTTGCGATCTGTCTTCCTCCACTTGCATCGCTACATCATCCACTACCTGTGCTGCAACACATTTTCGTCCCCTTCCTGGCTGAACCCCAGTGTTCTCGTTGCTTCAAATTTCCTAACCATGTTTGTTAGTCCTTGACCAGTGAGTGGACATTTTCATAACCGCTTCAAAGACCGAAATTTCCACAAAGCTTCTGTAGCAGAGTCTTCATTTTGGTGAAACAATTTCATCAGTAAAGCACATTCCTGGACCGTCAACGTCAACTTTCTTTCTTGGAAATGAGTACGACTGCGGTTCGCCTCTCATATCTTTATAGGGTTGCTGTGCGCGCACAGGATTACTATGGTTACGATATTTGCATATGCCAAAAGTTTACATTGCACAACGCCAGTGGTGGTGATTTTTGAAACTCATTTTTTTTCTTCTTCGATAAAATTCCCATTATTTCATTCTGCCATTACCCAATTTTCATGCAATTCTGCTGCAACTGCTCGCAAATTTCAAGTTTAATTACGGACACCCTGTATATACACGTTTGGCACAGCTAATTGCCGGAAAAAAAGGGAGCTGCACAACTAGATGTCATAGCAGTCTCATATACAAAATTTCAACGTCTACGGCTAACCTTTTTTGAGTTATGCGAGACATATACATACCTACGTACATACAAACGTCATTAAAAATATCCCTTTTAAATCCATTTTGGAGAAAGAAGCCCTTTATTCTGTCTGTATGCAGAGATGTCATGGAAAAAGAATTGTCCAAGTGGATTCGGGAACGGTCAGAATGGATATTTCTATTGAAATAATATAACTGAAATGCAATATTTCCTTTATTTCGTACCAGAGAGTAAAATAAGCATTCCTTATTATCCACTCAACAATATATTTTTTTAAATTTTGTTCTTTGCCACAAACATTCTATGGCTGATGATGCAACTGACATCACCAGATTTGATTCTGTGCAAATGAACGTAAATGATGACAGTATTGAATCTTATGAGAATGAAGGAAACTTTGCCAGTTCTTCAGATTTCGAAGAGGTGCAGAAGGTGATGTAGTTAAAAAAAAGAATTCTGCAGCAAAAAGGCAGTGCATATTTCACTCAAAACACAAAAGGAAATCGTAAATGCTTGTAATAATATTATTTTGGAAAAGATTGTTGAAAAGTGAATGCAAATAAATGTTTTTGAATCATAACTGATGAAACTACAAATATTTTTCAAAACAGCAAGTATATATTTGACAGATATGTGGAATAATGTGCAAGAAAAATATTTTAACAGAACTTTTTACAACTCATAGGTGTAACATCAACATGCAGAGAAGATTTGGCTACTGGTTTTAATAGATAAATTACCATCAATAGGTTTGCATCTGAAGTATATGAGACATTAAGGCCATGATGTTGCCACAGCCATGCCCAGTATATTCAAGGACATGCATGCTAAATATTTTCAGCCCTGCCCTCTATGTGCATCATGCTTTTCATTCCCTCAGTGTAGCAGTTTCTGATGAACGTCACATAAAAGTTATTTGCAACTGTATAGGAGTGATAGCAATAGAATGAGTGACAGCAGCCATTGTGCAAGATGTTATTCTTTTACTAAAAACTCCCAAAAAGAAATTGTTTTTCAAGAAAAGTATATCAGATTTGTACCTGTCTTCAAGAACAGAATCTCTGAACAAAATTTTGTTCCATCCATTTGAAAGACAGAGACAAATCTGTTATGGCTATGGTGGAAATTCTATCATATTTGGGCTCATCCACTGGATAAATAATAGAGAATTGGCATGATAACTAATAATCTCCTGAAGTTTAAATACTCTTGAATTCACTAAAATGTTCTGCTTTTGTGACTGCATTAATTGCAAAAATATATTCATGTATGTTGCCATTAAGTAGATTTTACAATGGATACTGATGGATGTTAGTGCACCATTTGATGTTAGTACACCATTCTCTTAGAATGTATGTGATGATATTCTAAGAGAACTGCAAGATATTCAGAGAAGCTCAGAAAATTTTTCCTCAGCAATTTATTCAGATGCAGGCACGTTCTGAAGCAAATAAATGAAGAACCGTTTGAAATTTCTCTCATGCAGCTGGTAAACTATCAACCATGAATCCATCAAATCCAGTTTTCAAATACCAATTGTTTTATCAGTTTTGGATGGCGCAATCTTGCACTTAAAAGACCATTTTATTACACATAAATATTAAATTTCTTTAATATTTTAGTTCCCCAAAAGAATAAATTCTCCCTTCCAATCCCAATATGAAGGAAAACTCAAAATTCTTTTAATATTCTTCTGATTTGTGGGCTTGTTATATCGGTATTTAAAATGTTGGAAATCAAGTTTAGCAAAGAAAATTGCATCCAGTGTGAATTACTTAATCTGCAATAAAAGTTTAAGAAAGAGATCTGCAATAAAGAGATATTTTTTCTAATATTTCCAACTTTTTGAGAATCTTAACATTATCAATAACCAATTACCTGTAGAAAGATAATTTTTTATGTTTAAATATCTAAAAAAATTGTTTACAAAATAATACACGTAAAGCAGCACGTTTAAAAGGATTATATTGTTGTATATATATATATATGCATGTGTGCAAGATAAAAAGATATGTAAATCAGCTTTATATTTTAATTTTGTAATAGCATCTTAATTCTTCATTTTTAATTTGAGTATTTCCTCTCTGTATTCTAATAAGATTAATAACTTCTCTGGAATGCGTCATTTCTAGATCAGTCTATGTCATATGGCTTGCATAACGCTGATGACGTAGCTAATTCGGAACCTGAACTCAAAGTTGAGAATTGAAACCTTCTTTTAATAAGCAACCTAAACCAAAATCTTCTCTTGGTGAGTCTCCATATTGGATAATTGTGCACTTTTGCTTCAGCTCTCTTGCTAGTAAGATGCTACTTGCTCGCTGGCTTACTGCTCTTCTTGTCACAATAGTATAAAAAATGTAAATATTCTTGAATAGCCACAATTAGAATGCCAAGTAAATGTGTCTGCAAATGTCAATTAAAATAAAAATGAATATTTAATCTGCCTCGGACTTCCAAGTTTGCTGTTCATTATGGATTCAACATTCTACGTTCTATACTATCAGCATTACAAGCTACCTTCTACACTATCAGCATTAATAAGCTACATTTTACACTATCAGCATTACAAGTTCTTTTTCATCACATATAATACATATATAATAATACTTATAAATATACCTTAAAAGGTTTCACATATTCCTCAAAAAACAATATGCAAAATAAATGTTAAAACATGATATGGTTTAAATTAAAAACTGCTTTTAATGCAGGAATAACTGCAGGAATACTTTTGACCTGATAAAATAATGCATGTACTTTTGTATTGTTGATTGGTATTTTATTAAAATTTCAACATTAATAACATAATAATAATACAAATGCAATTGAATGAATTCAATGAATGTTAAATAACTTGACATAATTGTAGATAAATAATTTTAGATTAAAGTCAATTTTTAAATTTCAAAATTACAAATAAGAAAATTTGCACAACAGCAGTTTAGACAATATAATGGCGATTATACCGCCAAAAATTAAATTCAAAGTACGCCACTGAGGTGCTTCTGAGTTATTTAACTGAAATAAAGATAAATGTACATGGAGATTCTAATGCATTAAAACAGAAGTCACAAAAATGTGAACAACATAAAAAAGAGAATATGCTTGTAAAGTTCAATAATCGCGTATACATGTAAATCTCAAATTTAACAAGGAATGGTAACAATCTAAAATATATATTCGCTATTAAAATACTTTGTACTCTTACATTTTGATTTTAAATATAAGCTCTTTGGTAAATGAATATTTTGATCAAACAATTTTAGTATTTAGTCTAAAATAATTTTTTTTCTGAATTATATTTAAATAAATTCTGTCAAATGGACTAGAGAAAAAGGCCCAACATGAATCAAATCATAATTCATGTACAATAAATATCTTAATAATTTACACAATTTAAAATATAGATGGACAAATTTTCAGCTAAGTTGTAAATATTTGTATTAGCACAATTTTTTAAAAATATTTAACAGTATATATTTCTTTACAATTTCATGTTATATAAGCATCTGTTAAATATCTCCCAGACATTACATTCGGAACTTTTTGAAACAAAACTAAACTTGAAAAACTGAATTTAGTTATTTTGATCAAAACAGCACAGAAGATTGCACGGAATGCTTATTTTTCACATCTTCAAGATGTATCCTCTAGTACTCCATCATCATCTACGTCTAGTTCATTTTCAAACATTCTTTGAAGCAAGTTTTCAACATTTTTGCCTAAAATATTAAAATAAAGAATGTTAAAAACACAAGTTCATTCAACAAACATATATTATTTTACATATGCCCCATTTGTGATATCATGGCCACAATAAATTACCAAAACTGAAATTAAAACTGCATGTATGTGGTGTGACAAAATATTTATTATGGACATAATTTGTACCAAAATGTCAGAAACTTGCTTTTTGATAAAAACTGAATAATGGTCTTTCATGATATATCAGGATACAAATTTTTATTGTCCAAATTTCAGTATAAAATCTTAAAATTTAAAATTAAACAAATTTCTGCAGCACATGTATTATGTCATATTTTTAAGACACTGCAAGAAAACAAATATATTTATGTTCCAGTAAAGTTCATTCATTCAACAGCCATATATTATTTATATATGTCTTAACTCATGATTAAAATGAATTTCCGAAATTGAAGCAAAAGAATATACGAATTTATTATGACTGAAAAAAATTACTGTCATACACATCATAAAGTAGCAATAAAATAACACAAACTTACTTTTCGTTAAATGAAATCGAATATCGGTTTTTCCTGATAAATCGGGATAAACAGCCTCATTTTTATTTTCCACGTTTTCATCATCAGATTCAATCATATCCTCTGAATCAACAACCAGCCGATCATCATCTGTACCTTTAGTATGCTGCGAAGGTCTCCTGAAAAGCGAAAAAAACGTAAATATGAATAAAAATACAGGCTTTTGATATATTCAAGTATTTCAGTTCAGCATTCATCAAGAAGTTAAAGCAAGTAAACACTGACCTCCCTAACTGAAGTCCCATTTCAATAATCTTTTTCTCCATTGCACTTTCTAATTTGCTTTTACAAAAAGAATACTCCAAAATGAAAGCTTCAAGGACGAAGGCCGTGAAAATGCTAAAATCAAAATTAAATAAATAAGTAAGTATCTTTTACATTTACAAAATTTCTACTTCAAAGCTAACAAATACAATAATATTTGAAATATAAAAATTAAACTTGATCTGTAATAGAAGCATTCCGATAAGGGTGTTTATTTTAAATGGTCTAAAAATTTATTTCATTACTTTTGACTGTGAAATAATAATGGTAATTAGTAATGTACTAGCAGTTAAAAAAATTAATAAACTTAGGTCCTAATTTATGAAGAGAATAATTAAATATTCTTTCACATAAACAAATCTTCACTTACACTGAAGGATTTCATTTCGCAAGATCCATAAACATATTATTATGCATTAAAATTTATAACGAATACAAATACCACGATGCTAACTGCAATATTTTAATATTATATATGCAAATACGCACATAATTCTACTGCTAAATTAATCTATTAATGAATAACAGTGGCAGCATAACCATGGGAGGTTCTTACATAAACGTTATATATCCTGTTATGTTCATTCATCTGTAAAGATATTAAGTATTTTTGGAAAGCAGGAAAGACGAAAAATTAGCAGTGCCCTCGCCGGCACTCGAACCACGGAGCTCTCAAATACGTGCCGAGTGTGCTGAATACTACACCACGAAGGCATACTAAGAAGGCGGAAGAAATACCTTATAAATCTCTCTCTATATATATTGTTTCATAAGAATAAATTGAATTTAATTAAAAATTAAATTTAAATACAAATTTAATTAAAAATTAAAATAAATTAAAATTAATTTTTAACAAACATGTATAAAAGTAAAAAAGCAAATTTAATCCTAAAAAAGCTAAAATAATTTTAAAAAAAAATTTAAAAAAAAAAAGTGCAAACATATAAAAGATTTAATTCTCGAACTAATCTACAATATCATTTAAATTCAGAAGCATAAGCAAATCAAGTGCAAAATCAATCCATGAAAATAAATTCATTAATTTAGCAAATTAAAATTAAACTAAATTTTTTTTTAAAATGCATAAGTGAATGACATAAGTAGGCAGGAGACAGACTTATCAAGGGGAAGTTGCCTCCAAACCTAACTCTCCAATCATTCAATTCGTGTTTCGTCATTCATGTAGGCAAGGGTAAAAGTCAAAACCAAAAGTAATACCAATAAAGTGGTATCCTTAGAAATTAACATTTAAGAATTAAATTTAAGAAAAGTTTTAAAAGGAAAATACTAATGAAGTCTTTTGAGAAACTAGCAAGTAAAGTCAAGTCTCTCTCTCTATATATCTATATATCTCTCTATACATACACACGCTTGTGTGCAAAATTAAGAGAATTTGCATATTATGTTGAATTTCTGAAAAACTATAATGAAATTTGGTATGAATGTACTTTTTTAACAGAGAAAGAGCTGTACCATTCAAAAGTCATTTCATATGCACATGATTATCAGTGAAGCTCATAATGCACGAATGTCCAAAATCCACATTGTGATAATCTGAAAATGAGTCGAATATGGGGTATGATTCCCTCTCACAGCCAGACAAGACACACAGCATGACGGCATACTAGATAGGAGTTAGTTGAGGAGTTCTTGTCGATCCCATTCCTAGAGCAATGGAGTTTCCAACTTCGGGATGGTTCTCAGAGTGGGATGGTGAGATGAAATTACCCTCCTAAGAGCTTCTCAGATGTGCTCTGTATGGTTAAAATCAGAAGATCTGGCTGGCCAATCCGTGCGGGGAATATCCTCACTTTCCGGGGAATCGTCGACCAGCTGAACCCTACGTGGACGACTGTTGTCGTCCATTAACAGAAAACCAAGACCAACTGTTCCCACGAAACATTGAACGCAGGCTCTACAATCTCCTCGCTGTATCTCATAGCAGTCAGGAAGCCTTTGCTAAACACATGTAGGGGGTGGTGGGGCTGTCCAACATAATGCCCGCCCAAACACCTCCACATTGTAATGATCCTCTTCCCTGATGAGGGAGGGATGGTATCTTATTCCAAATTCTCCTCATATAGGTACGCCCGGAATCAGTGTCCAGGCTGAATATCAACTCCTCTGAAATAAGCACAGCCCTCACTAAAGTCCACTGGTGCAAGGTGCATACTGCACTATGCTAAATTCGCTATCTTGTGTACTGCAGTGAATGAGACGCGAACAGCTGGTCTTCTGACATACAGTTCTATCTCATGAGGTTCGGGCAACTGTAGATTGTGAAACATAAGTTCCAGTTGCAGCATACAGCTTATGTGAGAGCTGTGAAGCTTAGTAGTCCCGTATCGCCACGATAAAGTGCCAAATAACGAACTTCATTCGTCGTTGTGGATCTTAGTCGACCTTGTCCAAGTCTTCTCGATATAGATCCAGTGTCTTGAAACTGTTTCCACGAATTGCAGACGACAATGGGCATTATATTGAGCTCTGTAGCCACCTACACTTTTCATTGGGCTGCCTCTAATCTACCGACAATTCTCCATCTCATTCAGTCCTCCTTACGTTCATGGCTACTCATCTTACCTGATATATTATAAAATTTACCTAACTCCTGCAAGAAATGAGGCAAATGTTCTGAAGGAGTATGAGCACACAAATCGCCGAAAATACCTAGTGCGCTTATATCTGCTCTACAATCACAGATCCACAGACATGCATATGAACGCTCCCGTATTCGACTCTGAATAGTTGCATAATTCTTCGGCGGCATAATTAGTACCTTCAACTCAATACTTTTCGTAAAAATGGACATAATTTGCAAATTCTCTTAATTTTGCACCCAAGTGCGTATACACAAACACACGCAGACAAATAAAATGAAATATTTTAAGTCAAAATCATCTCAACTTTTTAATCCATGACTTTTCCCTACTTAATCACTTTACTTTCACATACTTTTCTTAACGTGCCATTCCCCGAATCCACTTCCTACCCAGAAAATTACATAACACTTGCCTACATATTCATGGAGTAATTTCCATAATACTAATCCTACAATTATTTCTAATTTATAAAAACTGTTGAGTCGAATTTTCTGCTTAGACACAATTAATTTATGGCATCCAAATTACCAAGCATGTGTATATGTAAGTATCAGGAAGGCAGCAGCACAACACGACTGACCAGAAAAAGCGAGGTAAGAGGCATGATACTATATAGAAGAGAGAAAGTATGAATGACGAAATACTTAATTACATTAAATTAATTATTTTAATTAAATAATTAAATAACTTAGTGTTAGCTGTGTACTCATCACCTAGAAATCAAGTCACACGGGCGCTAGGCAGGTTTTTTCTCATGTAAATAAATTATTTAATCTTGGTCATTGATTGAGAGTTAATTTAAGAAACTTTTTAACTGAATGTCAATGAAATATTACTGAACTGCTATTATGTTTTTTTTAAAAAAAATTTTACTGTGCTACTGCAAACGAAAAACACGTTCTCGGAAACTAGTTTAACTAGTTCTTCATGTATTCTTGGAATTTGTTCTTATGCCTGTTTTGCTTTCGAAATATTTAAATCCCGTTGATGTACACTCTAAATGATATACCAAATATAGTTAGATCTTTAAAATCTTCATCAACCAAAGCAGTTAAGTTACTACAAAAATTTGTGTTTGATAAGAAAGGTGACCGCGCAAATCGCAAACTACTTCGTGAATTCACTGGACTAGATGGTTCTTTTCAATCCCCAGAAACTATTCATTTTTCTAGATCTATCTTAATGTCTTAGATTTAGATTGTTCCACTTCCGCTGAAGAATGTTATAATACAGTCGTGAACGCTTTAATTTCGATCAGAAACTACTATTTCTGATTCTTATTCCAATAGTGAATTAGAAAACCTATAACAACACATAATACTCGAAAATAAAATGCCTTTTAAAATCAGTTACATCGTAAGCGCGCAGTAAAGAAATTTTTCGAATTTGGCAGCTATCCAAATTCAGTGGCTTGTTTACATAAACATCAAATAAACAATACGAATGGAAATTAATCGGTTGGGAACAAAAATATTGGTTTAATATTTCCTTTAATATTACAGTTCCAAGTCTCTTCCCAACAGATTTCAGCTGGAACCATGCACAGAGGATTGGCATGCATAGTCGGGTGCCTGTGAGAAAACCACTCATTTCTGCTCAACATGCAAGAATTCGTTTGCAGTGATGTGTCAGGAAAGATGACACTGGACATCTGAAGGATTAGAAATGGGTAATGTGGCCAGATGAATCATGCTACACCGTATTTTGTACTGATGGAAGACGTTGAATAAGGCGAGAACCCTATGAAGGCATGAAACCCATCTTGCCTTATTCACACTGTGCAAGGATCTGGTGGGAGTATTATGATATGGGACATGTCCTGCTGGCATGGATGTGGTGCCCTGGTGTTCCTTGAGGGTAAACAAACAGCCATGAGATACCTAGATATATTGGAAGATCAAGTGCACCCTGCAATGCTGCATTTTTACCCTGATGGCGACAAATATTTTATGAACTATAAGGCAATATACATAGTGCCAGAAGTATTCAAAATTGGTTCGCTGAACATTACTCTGACTTCCAACACCTTACCCTGGCCATCGCATAGCTCGGATCTTAACCCCACAGAAAATGTATGGGATATGGTGGAAAGATGCATCCGACAGCACTCCCCTCTTCCATCTAATTTACAAGATCTAAAATGCTGCATAGCCAATGCATGGTATTCTCTGGATGTAAACACACTTTAGAAGCATGTAGACTTGATGCCCAAATGAATCGGAGCGGTTATCCGTGCAAAAGGTGGTCCAATAAAATACTGATAATGGTTTTCTAATTCATTGGCCAGTCTGTGTATATTCAATGAATCATTATCAACACAGTCAAAAAATAATCATTGTTAATGCATATTTAGTACACAGCCATGTTGTCCAACACAGCGACATGGAGGAAATGAATATTTGAGATATGAGTGCTGGGATATTTTTGCTGCTGACTGCTGGATATTTTTAATTAATTAAATCTTTATAAAGACAAATGTTTTACAATACACATACTTGACATTTTAGTACTTTAAAACATTGTATCCTTTCTGGATGCATGTGTTTTGTTTTTAGATATTTAAATGCTTAAATGGACTGAGTTTTTAATATTACCCCTTTCAATAATTTGCTCTACTTGTAACAAAAATCTTTCCATGCATGCGAGTTTGATTCTAAAAGGGTTCTCAATCAACAATAACGAAAGAGGGGGAAAAAATGAAAAACCAACATTTCATGCAAAGCTCTAAGTTACAAACATAATGGCCATTATATTAACCATCTCTCACACATATCAGATGAGTGGGTTTACTAGTATGCAAATATTATTAGCTCTGAGAAGTTATTTTTAAGATAAAAACTGATTAAAAATTAACCAAGATTTATGCATAAGTATTATTTAGTTGCATTTATGAAATTTCATCATACTGTGTGTGAAAGTGAATATAGAAATAGGGATGCTTTTATAATGATGCCTGGTCATAGAAGTGATAGCATGTTTACATCTTTATGCAGGTTGACCACCATTCACTAAGGCAGCAGCCTTCCATAGGTGCCAGCAATAAAAGTACCCACACTCTTATGAGGTTGATTCCTATTTGAAAAGGCAAAACAAGCTACTGCTATGCCACTGTTCATGATGCTTACAGAAATAATTCTACTGCATGACTGCATTATGAATTTTCTAAATTCTGCTAGCATAAAAGATGTGCACATTGCCCAACTTCAGAGTTATTTAAAATCGTCTCCAGTACATTTCTTATCAATCAATTCTTACAAATTTAAGTTTTCAACTTTTTTTACTGAAATTTTAATTAAAAAACATTTTTAAAGTTTAAAACATCTTATTTAAAAATTAAACTAGGAAGAAATAAAGATACTTACTTCAGAACAATGATAACACAGATCAAGTGAAAAGCAAAAAAGTACAGTCTTGCTACTTTACTGGTGACTAATACAAAACCATTGGCTATCAGTACAAAAGTTAAGAAACAATTCTTAATGGAATGCATTTTATGTTACAACAAAGACAATATACTGGCCATCAAAATTAAAGGATAATGACATAAATAAAACCTAACTGAAACTTCATGAAATACTATTAATAAAAATTTGTACAGAAGCATCAGTTAACATAATTACAATGATTGACAGTTGATTATTTGCAAAATATTGGATTTAAAACAAAATTTAAGGAAATTGGAAAATGAAGAAAAAATTAAGTCACCTCTTACAGAAAACACTTCGGACAGATATGCATACCTGATGTCTTGATTTCATAGACTTACCAAAGAGTTGATCAAATCTTGTGGAATTGCCCGCCACTTTTCTAAATGTGCACTTTTCAGCTCTTGGAGGGTCTGGGGCTGAAATTCCGCACCCTAAGGCATCTCTAACATGCTCAGTCAGGTGTGTAAGGCGGCCGATCCATTCGAATATCTTCTGTTCGCAAGTATTCTGACACCACATATACTCGATGAGGCCGAGCATAGTCAACCATTAGCAAAAACTCTGGCCAACAGCACTCCTAACAGTCTAACATGGAGTTCCAATATCTCGTCTACATATCTCCGAGCGCTTACACAACCTCCTTGAAAGCTATGCAGCTTGGTGCGGCCATTTTCACGATTCCTTCCCAAACCACGGATGCGGAAATGTGATATTTCATGGACACGGGAAGGCAAGCAGCATATTCCTTCCTTTCTCCAGGCCAAAACACCTCTAGCATCATTGTTCAGACTATATCTGGATTCATCAGTAAACAATACTCGGGCCCAGTCATCTTGAAGCCATCAGACATGACGACGGCACCAGTTTAAATGGGCCCCTCTGGAAATTGGAGTGAGGACGGACACAACCATCGATTTTCTCGCATACAGTCCAGCCTCGTTAAGCATTCGTGCAGCAGAACACCCAGACCTACCAAGCTCAAGGCTGCCTTAACACGATTTATTATTGGCTCAACCTCCAGAGATGATCCGATGTAGCACCACCACCCAAGGTCAATCCAGAGGGATTTTAAATGTTTCACTCGCTATCAAAGTACTGTGGGGGATGGCTAGCAACCATCTAAAATAAAGTCACAAGGTTGACATCGCCGTTCCCTCTGTACTGACCGAGGGGAGTCCATCCCACCTCGAATAGAACGGCTAATTCGAGTTCCTCTGACTGCCTGAAAGTCTAAAATCAAATCTCTTGTAGTCGTTTCGCGGTTACTTCGAGCCGCCAACAACAGAAAACGGTGTTCTGATGCAGTTGTTGCTCTTTGTCGTTCTTGACCAGGCTGTCTGTCAACTGATCCAGTGCTCCAAACGCGGCTCCAAATTCTTGATATCACTCTTTGAGCGATATTCAAATCTTTAGCTAGCTCCATTTGTGTTTGACCTCCCTCGATTCTACCAATTATTCGCCACTTTTGACCTTCACTTAAATGATGGCTTTGAGCAAGAACTACTGAATACTATCACTCTCAGAAACCACATTCACTATAAACAATACTAAAAGACCGGAATTCCAACATGTGTCCATTGCGCACAAATATCGTCAATCACTGAATTTGCATGTTTCCGGAGCAAATTTAGCGCGAAAGTGAAATTTTGTGTTCAATTGTAATTTAAACAACATGAATAATTACAGCATTGGTTGCAACATTAACGTAGTCAGAATATTTTTCTCATTATCCTTTAATTTTGATGATCATTGTATATATTAATCTGAATGATCCAGAATTACAAAAAACCAGCATGCTTATAAAGAATTTAAAAACAAAATAATTTTACGATTTAGAAAAGCTTTTCTTGAAAAGTTGCATAAATATTAACATAATGTGAAAAGAAATGATCATATATATTAAAAAAATATATATATTATTTGCATTTTTGCACTAAGTTACTTTTTTTATTTAGTATACATAAAAAATTAGGAATTAAACTGCAAAAAGTGATGAAACAAAATGATAAATTTGTTGGAGCTATTTATAATGGATCTAGCCCAGACAAGGGAGGGATAATACCATGGGCTTAATATTTTATACTCAGCCAATTATTAATTAATAATATAGTACTTAATACTGCAAGCTAAAATATTTTATAATCAGCCAATTATTAACTATAATTTCCTAATCTAGCAATTATCAATGAGAAACTTAATAACAAGTTGAAATTTTAAATTATTTTTCATTAATGAGTTATAAAATTCCATCATTTTTCAAGTTAAGTATACTAATTTGCTAAGCAAATGCTGAACGAATTGGTTAACTTTTTTAAATATTAGAGTTTTAAAAATTCCTCAAAGTAATGGCATTTACTTTTTTTAAAATAAGTATTTGCGAATTCAGAGAAATTATTAGATTTCACCATAATGCCTTTAGGTCAGTAAAAGTTCCTCATGAACTCTATATCATTTCATGCAGCTAAATTCGGAAAGGAGAGAAAAGTACTATGGAACATAAAATTCACACACTACAGGCTTTCAATCATAACAGAATTCCTCAAAATTCCTACTCCTACAACAATTTGTATTTTTTTTCTGTTTTACAATACTTTAATAATGCACTGTTTTATTCAGTTAATAACAATAACAATATTACACACATATAATATCCCAGTACAGGACCACCGTTCCTAGGCCATTAGCTGCCCGCATACTTTCCTAAAATTGCCTCACCCAAATTTAGAAAAAATTACTCAGTGATTAATAAAATTTTTATTTCATACTCAGTAATACTTACACATAACAAATTGTATAAAAAGTAGTTACATATGACAAGTACTCAAAATGAATTAAAAATATTTAGGCATGGTATAGCGAGAGTCCTGCCGCCCCTCGATTTTGTCTGCCCCCGTACTTTTATGCGTTGCACCTCTGCTAGGAACGGCCCTGTTTTAATATGCACCAAATGTCCAGCATACATATTAATGCTGAAGATAGAAGGGGAAAAAAAGCTAGTAAATGGGGATATAATGTATAGGTTATAGCATATTGATTTAATGGTTTTATTTGATTATGGAAAGCACACAAGGGTTATCTGTCTAAGGGAAGGGATGCCTTTGTTGAGTACGTTTTAAGAGGAGTGGATTGTATTCACATTACACAAGAGAAAAACAATGAAAATGTGCAGGCAGCCACCCCGTTCGCCTGGAATCAAATCTAGGTAAAACTACCAGTATTGAGCGATTTTGCCGTTTGGCTGCTAGTTTGCTATAGCACATTGAACATTAATGAAAAAAAATTCAGAGGTTAGCAGCCTTCTCCATTCTGAGGTTTTCATGATTAAAATGTGTGAGGTTTTTCATTGAGTATTAATTTAATGCTAATACTCTGATAAGCTACCAAACTTCATGCACAGCTTCATTTTGGAACATTTTTAATGGCAAGAAGGAAAAATTACATTAGACATCAAAATAAACAACTGAAATGTCATCAGCCCTATGCAAGCATCACACTGTTGCTTTTGAATAACTTCTTAATATGCTGATGGTATTTGTTTATAGAAGCAACTGGATAAGCATAAATGTCAGCTTTCAATTATCTTCATACAGTATAATCCAATGGCTTCAAATCAAGAGATACGACAAGCCACTAAATGGAGCCACTACATCTAAAACACCTTTTGCTATACATGTAGAGATGCCTGAAAACCCCATGCAAAATGGACTGATACTTTATCTTGCATAAACCATGTGCTTCAAACCCAGAAATAAAAAGAAAATAAGAGTCATTATGAGAACCCTCACTATATAACTGGTTGAAGCCTTTCCATTGAAAAGGTTTCCTACCCTGCTCATTTTTATCAGCCCAATCAGGCTGCTGTTTGCACCCTACAAATAATCGTACAAGTTGTTTTTCTGTTTTAAACATGCCAAGTTTATTCAAAATTTCCGAAGATATATGTGAATTTATTATATTGGCACGTTTTTAAATTTGGCATATTTGTTTAAAATGATAATATCATCGTATGTGGTTTAGGCACTTTGTTAAAATTATTTGAAAGTAGAAACGATGTGACTTTTTTCCCGCTTATGCACAATGTAAAAAGCTAGGAACACTGTGACTTTTTTCCTGCTCCTCCACAATGACTGGGAAATAGGTTGTCATATATTAAGAAGTTCGCCAAGTAAATTATTCTTGGTGCAAACTGAAAAAAGTACACCAAATTAAATTTTTAAATTTCTCTGTAAATTTTACAAAATTTAATATTTAAGCATAATTTAAGTTGTAGAATCAAAATATGGAAAAAAATTGGTATGTTATTCCAGAAAAAGTTCCATTTTGTGTAAAAATACCTATGTTAGAACAATGCTATATATAAATATAATCTATATCCTATGTCGCACTTTTGAGATATGAAAAACTCAATTTGAATTTCATCATTAGGCCCAGTAGAACGGGAGATATGGAACTGCTCTCCCTTTTTCTTGCACAGTGTATTTAGTGAGTATGAAATAAAAATTTTACTAATCATTAAGCATTTTTTTTTTTGGTTTAATTTGGAGGCGGCAATCTTAGGAAAATATGCGGGCAACTAATAGCCTAAAAACGGCCCTAACCCTATATCCAACCTATATATATATACATTAGTATAAGAGAAATGAGAAAATGATTATCCATATCACTAAAGGATATCATGCCACTGATTAACAACCATGAGTTCAAATAACACGACCAGTGTATTCAAGATGTTATTAAAATTGTTGCTGCAGTATTGGCTTTGATAGAAAACTGATCCATTTAATAACATATTACCACAATACAGATCAGACATGTTATTCCCATTCTGGTATCCGTAGTACTTTATTTTGTTATGAAAAATTTCCATGCCTATTATTGCAAAGACATAATATACAACCTGGAAAGAAAATTTTAAAATATTAATGAATTGTAAAAGAGTAACATAACAATTAACACTTGCAGCAAAAATAAGTTTTTCAAATTTGATGAAACTCACTAAAAGGACACCTCCATAAGTTAAGATTGAAGGCCCAAGATTCATGATTGTTGTAACAATAACCTGAAATCTATTAAAAAAAGTATATTTTTCAAAAAAAAAAAAAAAAAAAAAAAAAAAAAAAAAAAAAAAAACATGATCTTTGAACTTAGGATATACTTATTACAGAAAATAAATAGACAAAATTAAATCATATAACATATAATCAAAGTTTATTCTAATTTTAACCTAGCGGAAATACACTAAAAATATATATCTAGTTACCTTTCGATTCCGCCAATAATTTTAACAAGTCTAAGCACTCTCAATACAAGCAAGATATCCAAAGTACGTGTTTTGTCATCAACTACGCAAAGAGAAAAACAGCATTACACTATAGAAGAGTAAAGAAAGATTAAGGTCCAAGAATTCTGAAAGTCAACTTTATCAACAAAACCAGATCACATTATCAACAAAATTCAAATTTACAATAATTTAAAAAAAAATTTATATCCAAATTAAATATGTTTTATTATTGATTAAAATGCACAGTGAAAAATTTGCTGCAGTCTAATTAATATCTTAAATTATACAACCAAAGTATTATACTTAGAACTTCATATTTATGATAATTTAAAATGCTTGAACAGTAAAATAACATATTACACACAAGAAAAAATTTGCTTATATACACATTTTTCAAACACTTTTCTTTTTTCTTTTTAAAGAAGCAGTAACATATCCACATTATAGTATAATTATTCTTTAGTCATGATGATTAGGAAAACATATTTCAGATACTATATTAAAGACATTTTAATGCATCTAAAGATCTCCCATTAACTTGGATATACACCATGTTCCATGGTTTATCAGCAGTTTTACTGTTATACAAGATAATTTCAAAGCAAAGCATACCCACGGTACAAAATAATTCTTATTTAAGAAATCAAACATGTCTTTAGCACATGTTTGATTTAATTAATAAATTATTAAATATAAAAAATATTGCCAAGAGCACATAAAATATTAATAAAAGTTTTTAGATAGATACAATTAATGAAAATATTATCAACAATAAGATAAAAATATTAAATGCGCTTGGATATGGATACAGGTTCAAGATACTTGTCTATGAAAAAAATCAATTATCTACTAAAAGTAATGACTGCTTCTTGAATGATGGTCAAATTACAGTTATTGAATTTGTTTATCTCCAAACCAGTCTCGAGAGTACGTGGAGTTCCAAGAACGACCAAGCAGAGTTGGGAGCTATACTCGAGTGCTTTACAGTGAGGCTGTCTCCACCATTATTGCCTGACAGTGTGAAGGCTGTGTCGCTGAATGTGTCAGCGTGTTTATAACAGTTCGACGACAGTAAAAGTGATTTTGGAGCTATCTGATTAATATTTTGTAAATAAAGTGTGTTTTGATACTTCGTCAAGTGTCGTCGTTATTCACTCTAAATCTACGAACCCCATACAAACGTGAAGGAAGAAAATAACATAACAATATAAAGAAAATGTTTTGTGAGTCTAAATTAGTAAAAGCGTGTTAGTACGAAATAAAACATTTAGTTTAGGACTATAAGAATATTTTTTGTTCCTTCTCTTGAGAAGTTGCAAATTAAGTGGACTCCGTGATAGAATTTGAAGTAACTGCAAAATAAGCATGGTACAATTTGAATTTAAACGTTAAATATTTGTGCTTTATTTTACTCATAAGCTATGATATTATGGTGCTTTAAAGTTAGAACTTTACGTACAACATTTAGGAATACATCAAAGCTATTGCCGAAGAAATTACAAAAACGAAAAAAAATATTTCCAGACTTCACGAATTGAATTCACAGTTACATGATAAATTCCAGCGGCTAGAAAGTATTTAACATGCAATTTCTGAATTATTGCTTGATGAGGGCTACGTAAAACAAGAAAAGGGGGATGTTAAGGATTTCAGCAAAGCTGAAAATCATAGAGAACAGCATTTTAAGTAAAAGGTTGAAATTTTTGAAAAAAAAAAAAAAAAAAAAAAAAAAAAACCTGATGATGAGATCAATTCAGTCGCCATGTAACCAAAAACTATGGGTTGCCAAATTTAGAGATTCAGAGATTTAATGGAGATATGAAAGCCTTTTTGGGATTTTGGGGATTTAGTGTTACTGCGGTTGATACTCTTCCTTGGCGAGCAAGATCACCAGACCTTTCACCAATCGAACATGTCTGAGACATGATAGGCCACCAGATTCGGGCACCACAAAATATCGCAGATCTGGAGCAACAACTGATGAATGCCTAGCAGAATGTGCCGCAGAATGACATCAGGAACCTCTAGAACTTCTTGCCTCACAAATTCACGAATTCATTGCCGCCAGGGGCAGTTCGACCAACTACTAATTTGAACACTCAATGGGTGATTGTGAGCCGTGAACAGGTACTATGAACTTGATTTTTTAATCATTTTATTATCTGTGTATGAGCTATACACATATTCAATTTCATCAAAAACAACCATTTCCTTCATGGTGCTTTGATTTTTTTTCCCCTAAGAGTGTATTTGCAAATAATCGGGTAATCCCGATGAACCGGCCTACTACACTCTACCTAGAATGAAACTTCTTGGAACTGCCATTGTGTCACTATTAACAAAGTCTATTTTGGAAAATATAAATTTACCATTAAAAACGTATTTTTGGACAGATTCTCTGGTGATGCTGGCATGTACAGCTAAGAAGGAGGCCTGCAATAACTTTGTTGGTAACAGAGTTAAAGAAAATCGACAGCTGGAGAAATCTATCTGGTGAACTTAATCCAGCCGATTTACCATCTCGATCTTGTACTTGGCACACATTGCTGAAAACGAGATGGTGGGAGGCTCCTTCATGGTTAAAGAAACCTGGAATTCCGTGTCCTGTAATGAACATAGTTCGCTCAGAAGATTTACAAGAGCGAATAAAACCGTATCGTGTGCCTCAAGTATTCAAGGAACTGAAAAATTTAGTTATAAATTGGTGTATTTACCGAAAAATTCTAAACCAGCGATTCTCAACCGGTGGTATGCAAGAGAAAAATAGGTGATACGCAAAGAAAAAAGGTATTTTTAACTTTTAAATTAAAAAAATTAAATACCCTAACATCCTGTTTAAATTTTTTCTCTAACGCTCGAAATGTTATGTGATCTGAGCTTTGTTTACGTCAATAGGTGCTCACAGACATTAGCAAAATCATCCCGTTTTTATTTTCACAAATATTTTTTTACCCATAGACATAACAAAATTTGTCATAAATGATGTTTTTAAAAGGATTAATAGAAATACATGTTGTATTTAATAGGAAATAAGTTCCTATAAAATGATAATAGTATCTTATAATTCTTTTATAGTTAATCGATTTATTAACATGTTTACATTTCATGTCGAAAACATTTCCGGGCTCATAGTGCTCTATTTTCAATTAGAATCATTTTTAAGGTCGATTTGCTGTTTCTAACAGCAGGTATTTTGAATTCTTGTTGCTCTGTATTCCTTACTTTTCTAAGTGGTTTGAAAATAGCGTTGTTTGTTTTTGAAGAACTCGTAATATATTGTGCATTTAAATATTTGTGAAAAAAATAATAAAACAAACCTAGATTTTCAAAATGGAAAAATGGCTAGGACTGCCTAAGTGGAAAAGTGATGATTCACAAGTGATGGATGCAGGACAATGTACTAGCACTAAGAATATTGAAAAGAAAAGAAAAATTGTTTATAGAAAATATAATAAAAGTTCTTTATCAGTTTTGCTTTACTTGGAATGGAGATGAAATGGACCCTCAACTACAATATGTTGTTTGTGCTGAACTGTTGTCCAATCAAAGTATGAAACCATCGTTTCCTAAAAGACATCTTGAATCTAAGCATGCCAATTTAAAGGATAAATCTTAAGAATATTTTAAGAGAAAATTATCGGAGTTCAAAAATAGTAAACAAGTAATGAAAGGTTTGGTTATTTCAAGATAAAAAGTTTTGGAAGCTATTTAACTTGTCAGCCTACAAACTGCCAAGACTGGCAGGCTCACACCTATTGGTGAAAACCTTATATAACCAGCAGGTGAAGATATCGTTTAAACATAATTCAGCGAAAAGGCGGCTAATGAACTTAATAAAATTCTGTTATCAAATGATACAGTAAGTCAACGAATTCATGAAATTGTAAATTCCATGAGACACTTATTCACAAGTAAAACACAATGAGTATTTCTCATTGCAACTGAATGAAAGTACTTTGTTCAATTATTACTTTATCATTGCAATTGGATGAAAGTACTTTGTTCAATTATTACTTTACATACATTTCCAAGAAGATAAACGGATCATCAAAGAGTATTTATTTTGTGAACCTTTTCGTGATAGATCAACTGCAAACAAATGAAATTTTCAAATTAGCAATTTTACGTCTGAAAATCACATTCCTTGGAATAAGTGTATTCCCGTATGCAGCGACGGGATCGGGCTTTAATAGGAAAATATTCCAAGATTATTTCTCAAATAAAGAAATTTCACACCTGTAACTAAATTTACTCATTGCTCTATTGTGTCTGCCGAAAACATAGTGGCAAAAATATCGTGGACGAAAATGTAGTGGAGAAAACATCGTGTAACAAAAGATCATCGGTGAAAATAAAGCTAAAAGAAAATATAGCAGTTCTAAAACATTGTGGTACAAAATATCGCCGTCGAAAATAAAGTGTTTAAAAAACTTCACAGTTTAAAAACATCGTCGTAAAAAATAAAGTACCTACAAATCATCGCATGCCGATAACATAGCAGACATGCATTTTTTCCGGCTTTAATAATGGTAAAAGGATACTCGCATAATGATTAGTGAGCGCAAGATGGAAAGGAGGATAATTTTTACTTTTATATTTTTATTAACTAATAAATATTTGTTGAAAATGTAAAATGGAAACTTAAGTACAGAAGATTAAAGCAACTTATAACACTTAATAGATTTTTCAACTCACATAGTTAAATAACAAAGGTCATTAATAAATTATTTTTTATAAAGTTTTACTGGTAACTTTTCATGAAATGTATAATCTAAAAAAGAATAGAAAAAGGAAGATAAGTAACTGCATGACTTTATCTATAAAAAAATTGCTAAGTTTATTACGAGATTATTTTCTTCACTTTTGTTAACCTGATACTCTTATAGTGAAAATTATTTCTTGTTCTGTTTTTTAAAAATGTATTAGTTAATAAAAATATGAAAGTAAAAATTATCCTTCTTAGGATCCTGCCCTCACAAATCATTATGGGAATATCCATTTACAATTATTAAAGGTCTGAAAAATGCAAGTCTGCGATGTTATCGCCAAGTGATGATTTGT